CATCGTGCGTATGATCGAGGATGTAAATCTGTTTTATATAATATAATATAATAAAATTGATTTTACTAATTAGTTCTTGTTTTCGCCACTAGATTTCTCATGTGTCAAAAAAAGAAAGGCTGGCTTACATCAAATAACAAATCAAATTTAGCCACATTGAAAAAAAATCATAATTTGAAATTAAAGCCCAAATTATAGTGTACACTGTAGGACAATCATAACATTCTTAAACTTCTGGTGGTAAGACACCATACTGCTATAAATTATGGAACCAGATTTATTAGGGTTGTGGGTTTTGTTTTCCCATGATCAATTTTCTTTTAAGCTTAAATATACATATCTGAAGAAAGCGATGAGAGCATAATACTTAACGCATTAGATGCACGACTTTACTTGTATAAAATATATAATTCTTCTTCCTTTAAGCTTTAGAGTTTATCGTCAAAAAACACTAACAATCCAACGAAAATTATTTAGAAAATATAACAATAAATATGTAGCTTTTCTTTTGTAGAATGGGAGGAAATATTCCCACAGCCTCTATTTTTAAAGGTTTTAGTATGTTTTCTCCTCAAACACTCAATTTTGTATATTTTTAATTTTTTTTCTAAATTATACTAATTGTTACTTTAATAAATTATTAAGTTTAAACTTAATTAAATTAATTTCTTTATTATTTTGGCTAGTTTCTAAAATATTCTTGTTTTACATAGAAATTAAAGGGCGGGAGAAACACCGGACATACTAGGTGCAGGGGGAATTAGAGGATTTAAAAAAATGTATCAAAATATCGTTAAAATTATTTTAATTTGGCTTAAGATCAGATCAAAATTGTTCAATAGAATCATATAGAATCAAATTGGATCAAATAGGATGAAATAGGATCAAACAGGATCAAATTTGATGAAAAAGATCAAATAGGATCAAATAAGATCAAATATGATCAAAAAGAATCAAATAGGATCAAACAGGATCAAATATGATCAAATATGATGAATAACGATCAAATAGAATAAAATAGGATCAAATAGGATATAATATGATTTAAAAAGATCAAATAGGATTTAAAGAATCAAATAGAATCAAATAAGATCAAATTCCCCCCCCCACCCCAGTCTGTTTAAGGTTAAGAGTCTAAAAATTTTACCCAATATGCATTCCTTGACCCTTAAAAGTTGAAGCTGTACACTAATAGGGTTGTAAAATACATATATTTACGCTGGTTTTAAGGCATCATTATTATTTATGTGTAAACGGTGTAACCCCTCTCTTATACCCTATCCCTATATCCTTCCTGGCCCACAATAATCTTTTTTGCTTGTTTATTTTCTTATGGTTTTTAACAATTTTTTAATTTTTTTTATTTATCGATTTTGATGGTTATTATATCGTTAGAACTGACGAGGGTCAACCTAGACCGAAATATATTTTCAATAAATGTGTAACTAACATCTACATTCTTTACTCTACAGAGGTTAGAACTGACGAGGGTCAACCCAGACCGAAATATATTTTCAATAAACGTGTGACTAACATCTACTTTCTTTACTCTACAGAGGTTTGATCCATACTTACTAAATTAAGTCCTCTGCGTTGAATATGGTCTAAATATGACTTATTTAATGATTAAATAAAGAAAGAAGGAACAAGAAGCGTATAGGTGAAGGAAATAATAAATATAAGGGAACAGACGTATAAATTCCGTACAGTCGTCTGTGTAGTCTCACTTTTTTTTGTGGGTAACCCTGTAGGATACAGGAGCAAATATGTTTTTATTATGACATGTTCATTGTTCATAGACCTTTTAAATGAATGATAAAATAAAAGGTCATCTTGAATACAGATAATGTAGACAAAGGTTAATTTGTTTATTTATCGAAAAGCCTAAACTTAAAGGGACTGTAAGTATAAATTAGAAATCAATAATTCATGATTTTGAAAACTTAATAAAACTTAAAAACGACGACGAAAAGCGAAACGATCGTCTTTAAAAAAAAAAGTTTTTTTTTCAAAAAGTTCAGTTCTTTTTTAAAACTGTAGAAAGACATAAAAAAGATTATCAGAAATAAACATTTTAAAATTTAAAAAATGAGAACATCTTCAACATTATTGTGCAGACAAAGGATTCAAGGGCATCAATGTGCAGGGAGGGTCAGTTAAAATTACGCTTACTTGTGTTTCTTTATTTTCATTGTATTTCTCGATCCTTGGTACTCGGACAACCGAAAAAGTCGTCTTTTGTTACATATTTTTATTATTACAGTTACTTCCCCGATCATATCATTGTTCAGGGCTTGATCAATTATAGCGTGNTTAATCCCTTTATTTTTAAACCCCAACGTCGTATGACCTTTAGACCTAAGAATTCTATTAGATCAAATGATCAAAGTTTGAAATACACCATCGGGTTGCAAAGATAAGGTGATTGAAAGCAACATTTCAATTGTTACTAACTTTAGAAGAGAGGCGAGAAGCGCCCATAAAGCAAAAACAAGGTTCATCTAACTTGTTCTTTCTGTATAAACTGTGACCAAGATATTTGTATTAATATTTGTATTCTCATGCTGCCGCTAATAATATTGAATTGTCATTCAGACACTGCAAATAAACTACATATAGGACAAAAAGGGAATGATCAATGATCAATGATCAATATTAATATTTATGGTTAACAATGGGCTCCTTTATTGATCAAGTTTTAAATGACTCAACAAAATTACATATTTATTTAGAACATTGCATTGGTTTTAAAACCAAGAATGAATAATTTGTTGAAGGATTCGATGATTACGTAATAACTGAAATGATAAATATGTTATGTAATGAGTAAAAATCAATGTTTTCTATTTGTGCATAATTTAGCATATTTTCTCTTTCTTTTGGAAACCTGTATTTTCAAAAATTTATTTAAANTTATAATAATAATAAATTAATATATCAAAATATAATAAGGTTTGGTGTAAAATATAAAAAGGGGGCCAGGGAGGGGGAGGACAGAAAACAAGAAGCTGCATCTAACATAAAGGGGAAGACGGAAATTTAAAAAAGGGTAGATTAGGGTGGGGCGTGAAAATAGTTTTAAAGATAATGTAAACACAAAACATAATTTTATGTTATCCTCAAAAAAATAGCATGTCCTATTTACAACGGTACCCTTAAAAGCTTTATCCATGTTTTTTCTTTAGCTGATTTTTTCCCTTTGTGATTTTTCTAAAAAGCTGATTTGAGCGTATATTTCTTCGGTAGCAGCGGAGAAATTATCAGAATTAAACAATTTTCAAGCTAAATATAGACGTTATCATCCACATAGTGCTAGGTATTTTACCAACGGCATTTTCCCAAGTGATAACCTCTCAAATGTGTAATTTCTGAAGTGAAAACTGTCCAAAGGTTAGATTGTAGGCCCAATAGGGGGCCGAGTGCTGCGGATAGAACCGACTCATGGGAAGTTAAGAAATTACACAATTGGGAAGTTGCCACTCGGGAAAACACCCTTGGGAAGTTGCCGCTTAGGAAAACTCCTTTGGAAAAATATACCTAACATCTTCTACATCAGACTAAGCAATTTCAAATGTTAAGAAAGTCAAAAAGAAAAAGGGGGGGGGAAGAAGAAGGAACCTATTGAAAAATAAAGAAGGAAAAAAAGTTAAACATGGCAAGTGTAATAAAAAATAATATAAAAGAGTGAAACTGGTGGAAGGTGAAAGCTTGAAAGGAGAAAAGAACAGAGTTTTTGCCAAAAAAAAAATCAACAAAAAACAATAAAGGTTGAACATTAGAAACATTTGAGTTTGTGACAAAGATTTAGTTCCTATAGATAAAACTTGAAGCCTGCAAGAAGAGGGGGTAAGGAAAGAAAAAAAATCCAATTTCCATTTTAATTCAATTCAGCATTTCTAAGGAAACGTAGAACCGACTACAGGACGAGAACCGACTACAGGACGAGAAGATAAATGATTCTGAATCCTAGGATTTATTTATTCTAAACTTTTATCAAATACTATAGGCTCTGTATGAGTCTATGAGAGTAGTGTAATGTTCAACTTCTACATTTAAAAATTTACAAACTATTTGTAAATTGATTTTTAAGGTAAATGGATTGAAAAATATACATAATTTGAAAATTGTAAATGCATATGTGTAAAATACGAATCTTTTTATGTGGACAAAAATAATTGTCAATTTTAAATTGTAAATTTTAAATGCAAAACTGTAAAATGCGAATATTTTCATGTTTACTAAAATGATTTGTAAATTGTGAATGCATATATGTGTATAATATATATTTTATGTTGTCTAATTAATATTTTGTAAATTGAAAATGCAAAAGTGTAAAATTCCAATAGTTGTATCTTGACTAAAATAAATCCAATATAATTGTTCATTTGATATGAGGGAATAAATGTTGCTTAGTGGGAGGGGGGTGTGTGTGTTACTTTTGAGTATACCAATTAAATGCTTATTGACAAAATCAATCATTTCCCCATTTTCCCCTTTTCTGGTTTACATTAAAAAGCTTAAGCAAGTGTCATAAGTCAGTTTTTTCTCTAACACTGCATTCGAAGACGATTTTTTTTATTTTTATGAGCTAAAGATTTAAACCGAGATTTCTACGCGGCATTCATTTCCGGAAGGGAGAGGAAGAAATTGATTACCAGGGTTACCAGCCTGATGCCGAACGGCTTACATGATTGTTTTCGTTCTTTTTTACCTTTTTTTGCCCGCTGTTAAGTTTTTTTTTAGGTTTGGCTAATTGTTGAATTCCCTCCTTTTTCTTCTGAATGTTTATTATCTCAGATAATTGGGGCAGACATGAACAACTATAGTTCGATGTGCATGGTGGTCATCATGCAGAAAATAAACGCTGATTCCGATGATACAAGTTTGGTTACTTTTCTATATTAATTGTTTTATTTAATTTTTAACTTTTTAATTCCTTGTGGTTGGCAACTTGGCAACCCTGACATACGATTTTAGAATTTTGCCGGTAAATCTGATGACTCAATCCGATTTCATATCTGGATTATTCAAGATCCAGTCTCCTCGTGGAGACGTCCTGCACGTCTCGTCTCGATCGTTTTAGAATCTTAATCTTATCTGAGAAGTGATCGAGTTCGAAGATTAAGAAGAAGATATCTGACAAAGGTTGGTTTCTTTGATTACCTAATTAATAGAATTGTCACTTGATCCCAAATTATACCACCTTGTATATTCCTAGAGAAC